TGTTGGGAAAACTGGACAGCCTCATGCAAAAAAAATGAAAGTAGACCATTACCTTATACCATACACAAAAATTAACTCAAAATGGATTAAAGACTTGAATCTAAGACCTGAAATCATGAAACTTCTAGAAGAAAACATGGGCAATACACTCTTCGACATCAGTCTTAGCAACATATTTTCAAGCACCGTGTCTGACCAGGCAAGAGAAACAACAGAAAAAATAAATGGGACTACGTCAAACTAAAAAGTTTCTACACAGCAAAGAAAACCATCAACAAAACGAAAAGACAACCTAACAACTGGGAGAAGATATTTGCAAACCATACATCTGATAAGGGGTTAATCTCCAAAATATATAAAGAGCTCATACATCTCAACAACAAAAAACTAACAACCCAATTAAAAAATGAACAAAAGACCTGAACAGACAATTCTCTGAAGAAGATATACAGATGGCCAACAGGCACATGAAAAGATGTTCAACATCATTAACTATCAGGGAAATGAAAATCAAAACTACAATGAGATATCACCTCATGACCATCAGAATGGCTATAATTAACAAGACAGGAAACAACATGTGTTGGAGAGGATGTGGAGAGAAGGGAACTCCCGTACACTGCTGGTGGGAGTGCAAACTGGTGTAGCCACTATGGAGAACAGTACAGAGATTCCTCAAAAAGTTAAGGATAGAACTATCATCCGATCCAGCTATTCCACTGCTGGGTATTTATCCAAAGAACGTGAAAACACTGATGCGTAAAGATACATCCACCCCTGTGTTCATTACAGCATTATTCACAACAGCCAAGACTTGGAAGCAACCTAAGGCCCATCAAGGGAAGAATGGATGAAGAAACTGTGGTATATATACACAATGGAATACTACTCAGCCATAAGAAATGATGAAATCCAGCCATTTGTGACAACATGGAGGGACATTGAGGGTATTATGAAAAGTGAAATAAGTCAGAGGGAGAAGGTCAAATACCATATGATCTCACTCATTAAGTAGTAGATAAAAACAACAATAAACAAACACATAGAGACAGAGATTGCATTGGTGGTTATCAGAAGGGAAGAGGGGAGGGAGGAGGGCGAAAGAGATAATTAGGCACATGTGTGTGGTGATGGATTGTAATTAGTATTTGGGTGATGAACATGAGAACATGATGTAATTTATGCAGAAATAGAAGTATAATGATGTACACCTGAAATTTATACAGTTATAAACCAATGTTACAGCAATAAAAAGAAAAAAAGAAAGTGAAAAGACAACCCACAGAATGAGAGAAAATATTTGCAAATCAAGTCCCTGATAAAGGATTTGTATGTAGAATATATAAAGAACTCTTACAACTCAATAATAAAAAGACAAATAAGCCGGTTAAAAAACGGGCAAAGGATCTGAATAGATATTTCTTCAAAGAAGATACACAAATGGTGAGTAAGTACGTGAAAAAATATTCAAGATCATTACTGTTAGGGAAATGCAAATCAAAACCACAATGAGATACTACTGCACCCCCACTAGGATGGCTGTAATCAAAAAGACAGATGAAAACAAGCATTGGTAAGAATGTGGAGAAATTTGAACATTTATATATTGCTGGTGTGAATGTAAAATGGTGCAGTGGCTTTGAAAATAAGTTTGACATTTCCTTAAAATTTTAAATATAGATTTACCATATGACCCAGCAATTCCACTCCTAGGTATATACACAGGAGAAATGGAAACATACATCCACACAAAAACCTGTACATAAATATTCATAGCAATATTATTCATATAGCCAAAAAGTAGAAATAACCCAAATGTCCGTCAACGGATGAATGGATAGACAAAATGTGGTACATCCACACACCAGAATATTATTCAGCCACAAAAAGGAATGAAGTACTGATACATGGTACAAAAAGATGACCTTTGAAAACATTAGGCTAAGTGAAAGAAGCCAGATGCAAAGGAACACAAAGGACCATATATTATATGATTGTATTTATTTGAAATCTCCAGAATAGGCAAATCCATAGAGACAGAAAGTAGATTGGTGATTCCCCAGGCTGGGGAGAATGTGGAATGACTGCCAATGGGTATGGAGTTTCTTCTTGGGATGATGAAAATGTTCTAATCTTAAGTTGTGATGATGGTTGCACAACTCTGAGTACACCATTGAGTTTGTAAACTTTAAATGGATTAATTTTATGGCATGTGAATTATATCTCAATAAAGATGTTTAAAGAAAAGGTTTTTACAGGTGTCAACTAAAATTGCATTTGTTCTATATTTGTTCAATATACCCTTCCTGGGTGAGTATGTAAAATAACAAATTGCAAAGTATATCTCATAGATGACTTCTATAGCTAAGTGCTCTAGGTGTGCAGGTATAAGTTCTTATCAGATGTTAATTTAAAGCCAGATGCCCATTTGAAAGAAAGTCGTATGCAGTATTTAACAAGCAAATACATACAATTCAGCCGTAGTACAATACCTCACCTAGCTTAAGTAAAGTTAATAAATAAACAGGATTTTATTGGCTCAGATAACTTTAAAAGGCGCAACTGGATACAGCAGCTTAGGGAATTTCATCAGGACCCTCCCAATCTCTTCATCACTTAGACTGGCATCCTCCAGGTGGGGGCAAGATGGCTACCAGTAGCCTCTAGACTTATAACCTCAGTAGAAAGATCCAGTCTTCTTCTAAAATTAATATGCAGAAATTATTATCTTCCTATATACAAATAAAACAAAAATACAATTTAATGAAAAAAGATCCTATTCAAAGTAACAGCATAATGTAAAATATATAATCAAATAAAATACTGGCTATATGAAATGTGTGGAACCAACATGAAGGACCCCAAATTATAAAGAGAGGCAGGGAAGCTAAAAGAAACCCTGATAAAATAGGCACAATCTCTTGTTCTTGGATAGGAAGTCCGTTGTAAAGGTGTCCGTTATTCTCAAATTAATTAGCTATATAATTTACTCCCAGTCAAACTCACAAAAGGAGTTTTCATGGAAATTTGACAATTTTTTGGAATTTGACAAGATTATTTCCAAGTTCATCTGCATGAAAAAATGTAAGAGAATAGCTAAGAACATATCGAAAATGAAGCACGTTAAGGAAGGATTTGTTCTCCTGGAACAGATCAAAGATGTAAGCATACAAAATAAAATAAACCATGGAACAATTAAAAGACGATATTGATAAATATTTTTATAATCTTAACATGGAATAGGCCTTCATATGCATGAAAAGAAACCAAGAAAGACAAAGGAAAAGAAAGAAAATTTATGAAACTGAAAATGAAAATTTTCTGTGTGACAAAACAAAATCATCATGAATAAAATTAGAAAGTAAATGAGACATTGGGGAAATATACCACTGAGAGTAAGCTGCTCACTGAGGCTTCTGATATACGATCATTAAGAAATGAGCCCCAGGGCCAGCCCCGGTGGCCTAGGGTTTAAGTTCGGCACGCTCTGCTTTGGTGGCCCAGGTTTGGTTCCCAGGTGCAGACCTACACCACTCATCTGTCAGTGGCCATTCTGTGGCACCAGCTCGCAAACAAAAAGAAGAAGACCAGCAACAGATGTTAGCTCAGGGGAATCCTCCCCAAAAAAAAAAAAAAAAAAAAAAAAAAAAAAAAAAAAAAATGCCCCAGACTATGCTTGATTTTAAATCTGGCTCTACCCCTTCCTGCTTGCTTTCTCATCTCTAAATACAATAATCATATTTACCTTCTAGAGTTGTTGTGCAGATTAAATGAGATAATATGTATTTGTTCTTGTTATTTTTTCCGAATATACACACAAAGTTCTTACAAATAAAAAATAAATAGTAGAAATAACCCAACAGAAGATAGGGAAAGAGTATAGGTGGAAATTCAAAGAAAGAATCATGGGAATAAAGATGATCAAAATGGCTAATAATCAAAGAAACAAATCAGAATGCGAATGTTTCACCTCTCACTTGATAATATCCTGTGTCAGAAAGAATGGGAGACAATAAGCACTCTTAGATTTGTTGGTGGGACTATAAATTGGTTCAATTTATAGAGGAGAGAAATTTGACCTCCACTGTTTATTTAATTAATTTATTTTTAATTTTAATTTAATTTAATTTTATTGAGGTCATAATAGTTTATAACATTGTGAAATTTCAGTCGTACATTATTATTTGTCAGTCACCATGTATGCGTGCCCCTTTACCCCTTGTGTGCACCCCCCAAACCCATTCCCCCCTGGTAATCGCTAATCTGTTCTCTTTATCCATGTGTTTATCTTCCACATATGAGTGAAATCATGTGGTGTTTGTCTTTCTCTGTCTGACTTATTTTGCTTAACATAATACCCTCCAGATCCACCCATGTTGTTGCAAATGGGACAATTTTGTCTTGATTATAGCTGAGTAGTATTCCATTGTATATATATATATATATATATATATATATACACCACATCTTCTTTACCCAATCATCTGTCAATGTGGCCCCCCACTATTTATAACATGGTCCAAGCCTCCAAAATAACCCCCAGTCCAACTCTCCAGAATAACCTGGACATTTATTTTAAATAATATACAAAATGCATAGATATCTGTACATTTGGTTTTGTTTTGTTTTTTGTTTCTTCTTCTTTTTTTTTAGGAAGATTGGCCCTGAGCTAACATCTGTTGCCAATCTTCCTCCTTTTTTCGTTTTTTCTCTCCAAAGCCCCAGTAGATAGTTGTATGTCATAGCTGTACATCCTTCTAGTTGCTCTATATGAGACACCGCCACAGCATGGCTTGATGAGCGGTGCGTAGGTCTGCGCCCAGGATCAGAACCGGCGAACCCCGGGCCGCCGAAGCCAAGCATGCGAACTTAACCGCTATGCCACCGGGCCAGCCTCTTTTTTCAATCTGGAGGAATATGTAGTGCCCTCTGCATGGCAGTGACCCCCAGAGGGCAGAGTAGAGAGGACTGAAGCTCCCTTTGTCCCTCTGCCTCTCCAGGGCTTTCTGTACCGGGCCCTGGGCTTCACCTTGGCCACAGGCCTGGAGGCCGACAAGGTGGAGGTGCTGCTGCTGGAGCTGCTGTACAAGACAGACTATGGCAATGACTTTGACCGCGAGGTGAGGGCACCACGCATGCGTGTATATGTGTGTGTGTGCATGCGTGTGTGTACCTTTGTGTGTGCGTACATGCATGTGTGTGTGCGTACATGCATGTGTGTGTATCTGTATGTATGCATGTGTGTGCCTGTGCCGTGTGTGTACATGCGTGTGTGTGCACGTGCGTATGTGTGCCTGTGCGTGTGTGCATGGGTGCATGAATGTGTGTGTATGTGTGCATGGGCGGCTCCTCCTCTGCCCCCTGCCCACTGCCCTCACCCCGGCTGCCTGGGTCTCCTGCAGGGTGTGATTCTGTGCTTTGGCCTGTGTGCCCGGGGCCAGGTGAAGACGGTGCTGAACGTGCTCCATGAGTTCGAGGAGAAGATCCAGGAGTCGGAGCAGTCCTGGCAGATTGGCGCTTGGAGGGTAAGGCACCCTCGCTGCACAGTCAGGTCTCCGGGGCCTCTTAGAACAGTACTCTCAGCGCCCAATCAAGGTTCTTTCTAGATCGCAATAAGAAACTCCCCTCTGTGTCTGCCGTCACCAAAGTGACTGAGATCCTGAGGCCTCCTCCAACAGAGCTTTTGCTCTTGGATAACCTAAAGAACACAGGGTGGGCCTTTTCGGGACCCAGATATTGCAAAGGAGCCCTAGCCCCTTGCTACTCATGGTGGGCTCAGAACAGCAGGGGGCGCCCCTTGGTACTGGTTGGGAATGCAGCGCTCCAGGCCTCACGTAGACCCCCCGGATCTGAAGAAGCTGCTCAGGTATCACTCAGCAGATGCCTCCCGTGTGTTGGAGCTCGGCCTCAGTGAGTTGGTGGTGCTGGAGTGCAGGGGCTATAAGCCCGCTGTTGTATAGATGAGAACACGGAAGCTTGTCCACAGGCGTGCAGCTGGCCAGTGGTGAAGCCAGGAGTTGGACCCAGGCAGCCCATGGCACGTCACTGCAGGCTGACCTGCTCTGCCACAGGGTGCGGTCCCACAGGCTGGCTGAGCCCCCAGTGGGCGACCATCTGGAGGCAGTGACGCCTCAGGCTTTGGTCTTGACCTTGGACCCTTGCCCTGGGGGTCTGGTAGTGTGGATGGAGAGAATCAAGAGTCTCAGGCTTCTGCCCTAGCTTCTCAAAGCAGGCCCTGAGACCTGGATTTCTACTCAGTGCCTGGCAGGGCATGGGCACCCCTGACCCCATTCCATGGTGGGTTTGGTGCCCTCCAACACCTCCTCCCGGGAGAGCAGAACCAAGGCTGTCTGTTCCCACTGGATCCCCAGCATCACAAGAATGGCTGGCTCAGAGCAGGGGCTGGCAGGTGAAGGTATGAAGAAGTGCACAGGCAGCCTCTCCTTAGGGGTGTCAGTGTGAACCACCTGCTCACAGCTAAGGGGTGGTCCTGACCCTGGTCTGACTTGCTCACCACTGTACACCCAGTGCCTGCCATGTAGTGTGTGGTCCATAAAGACGTGTTGAAGGAATGAATAAATGAATGAACATTTCAGACACCCAGAAAACCAGCACCTTCAGCTGACTCAAGTCCTCCTTTGGCCATGTGACCAGAGACTGTCCGTGTGCAGCTGGGGTGGCCCCCATTCCCTCCCAGAGGGACAAGTTGAGCAGACCCCCCACCTCCAGTGGTTCTTCCTTTTCTCGTTGGCCCCACAGAAGGACCATCCCTGGAGGAGGGAGACAGTGAAGAGCGCCCTCATGGTGATGTACAGCTGTGTGGCCTCCCACTGCCACCCCCAGATGCTCCTCACCCACGTGGACAAACCCATCACTGCTAAAATCATTCACCACTACTCCAGCAGCTGCCAGGTAACCCTGGCCGCCACAGACCCACATCCAGTGCTCGGGGATGCCCTCCTGGAGCCAGGCTGGCGGAGAGTCACCCTGCATCATTACCTGGGTGCCCCCTCCATGCCCCAGAGACATCCAGGAGTCCTACCTGACACCCAGCATTCGGGATGCCTATTGCCCCAACCTGAGCTGCTCTCTGCTGCACAGGGTGGTGGGGGGCAGCCCTCCCCCGAGTGCTGGGCAGGGTGAGCTTGGGTCCCCAGAAGTCACAGGATGAGCTTCCGCTCCTCCCAGCCTCTCTCACTCCCTCTGCCCCGACCCCAGACACCTGGCCCAAGCCCTTTCATAAGGGACAAGTAGTGGGGTAGTCTTCCAAGAGATGCAAAGGGACTTCCTACTATCTTGGAATGGCAAGGAGGAGAAAACACAGAGAATAAAGCAAAAATTATTTTATTATTATCGTTTTTTAAATTGTGGTAAGATACACATAACATAAAATTGCCACCATAACCATTTTCTTTGTTGGTGAGGAAAATTAGCCATGAGCTAACGTCTGTTGCCTATTCTCTTCTTTTTGCTGAGGAAGATTGGCCCTGGGCTAATATCCGTGCCCATCTTCCTCTACTTTGTATTTGTGACGCCGCCACAGCATGGCTTGGTAAGCGGTGTGTAGATCCACACCCAGGATCCGAACCTGTGAACCCTGGGCCGCCGAAGGGGAGCATGCACTCTTAACCACTACACCACTGGGCCAGCCCCACCATAACCATTTTTAAGTGCACAGTTCAGTGGCATTAAGTACATTCACGTTGTTGTGCAACCATCACCACCATCCATCTCCAGAACTCTTGATCTCATAGAACTGAAACCTTGTCCCCATTGAACACCAACTCCCCATCTCCCCCTCTCACCCCGGCCCCCGGCACCCACCATTCTACTTTCTGTCTCTGAATTTCACTACTCCAGGTACCTCATATAACTGGAATCATACAGTATTTGTCCTTTTGTGTCTGGCTTATTTCACTCAGCATAATGTCCTCAAGGTTCATCCATGTTGTAAAAGCAAAATAATTTTATCTCAATGACTTATTCTGTCTCTCCCACAACACACAGGGCTCGGTGTCCCTGGTCAGTGAAGGTGCCCGCTGACCGACATTGCTGGCCTTTGGCACAGGTGTGGGGGCTTTGAGCGGAGGCAGCGTCTTCCTTGGGGCACCAGAGCGCTGTCCGGCGCCTGGCCCACATCCCTGCTGTGTGGCAGATGCTCTGTCAGGTGGCTGAAGGACAGAAGGAGGCCGGTTGTCTCTCAGAGTGCCCGATATTGATTCTTCTCCAGAGCAGAGGAAGGAGCATCCTTCATGCAGCTGCAGGGTCCGGGAGGAGGGCTGTGGCTCGGGATCTTAGGGCTCACTCACAATGTGCTCCTTTCTTTCCCTCGTCTTGGTCTTGGCACAGGACATCAGCCTCAAAATGGCCTTCATGAAGAGTGTGGTGCATGTTGCCAATGCTGTCAAAAACATCAAGGACCCGGACGACTTTCTATTCACCCAAAAGATGACTCTTACTGGCATTATAATGGTAAGCCGGGCGGGGGCTTCCTCCGTCCTGGGCAGTTTGGGGTCTAACTCTGCTGGCTGGCTTCCCCCTGGTCAGAGGTTTTCAGAGTTCCTGAGGGCCTCTGAGGAACAAGGGGGCTGCAGGGGACTCTGGAGCCCATTCCCTGTCTCAGATCTGCTTTGATCCAACTGTAGAAATTCTGAGTATGATATTCTTGTATCTGATAAAGGGTTTCATGGCCAGGAAATAGTCTGGAAACCAGGGCCGAAGACCCCGGCCCTGCTGGGCCCTGTGGTGCTCCCGAGGTGGCTGGTTCAGGACCGGGAGACAGAGGTCCACTGGGTCAGCCAGCTGTAGCCCCAGTGTTTTTCCATAGGAGGGACTTAGGGGATAGGGATCAGCGGGAGGCAGGACTTAGGGCTACATTTGCACAGACCTTTGGTAAGATCTAGAAAATGTCAACTGTCCAAAGGCAAGAAGCCAACAGGGGCTGATGGAGTTTGTGAGACAGCCACTGTCCCTTGTCCCCAGACCTCCCTGCTCCCTTATGATCCCTTGGCCCCTGGAAACCCCTCCAGCTGCGCTGGAAGCAGTTCTGGAGGGAAGTGAGATGTGGGTGGATCAGGAGGCCCCCAGAAGGAAAGGAACATTTGTTTGGCTCCCACTCTGGGCCAGGAGCTACATGGGTGTCATTTCATGCCAGCCTGGCCCAGCCCTGTGAAACAGGCCACTGAGTCCTCATTTTACACATAAGGGTTCATGCCAGGGAAGTGGTTCGCCCAAGGACACATAGCAAGTGAGTGGCAGACCTGAGTGAGATACACAGGCCCACCTTGAGCCCCACTCCTTCAGCCAGATTTTGTCACCTCCCCTAAAATATCAAAGGCCAAGTGATCCTAAAAAGAACAAAAGCATTTGGGGAGTTAGACCACTTCATATAATGTCAGATCTTCCTGGCACTAACCCTGGGGAGTGCTGCTGCCATCAGTCACTGTGAGTCAAGGACCCCCTCTCCTGCCTGGCCCGGGACACTGGGTGGCCTGGCAGCTCACTGCCCTGCTGTGCTGGGCAGGTGATCATCAAGGCAGAACCGCCCGACAACCTGGTTTCTCCTGTGCGGACAATGGCGATGGACGCCCTCTTACACCTGAGGTGAGCTGGGCCCCTGCCTGGGCCGCAGGCACCTCCCCTGGGTAGAGGTGACAGCTGAGACACCCCTCAGTGCTCCTTGGGGGGTTGCACCTCCTTTGCCCTCCCAATCCTGTAGCAGGGGTCTTGGGTGGCAGCTTCCTGGGGCAAAGGCCATCCTAGGAAGGTTCAGATCTGCTTCCGCCAGCTCTTTTCCATAATTCTCAGCAATATTTCAAGGTGGGCTCTTCTCCTTGGATTGGGAATGGCAGGTGGGTGGGCTGGTCTTCAGTCCATTAGGGGGTGTTTTGAGCAAGAAATCACACAGTGACACTGAATAGCATAGCAGGGAGATGGTATCATTCAAGTCAGGTTGGGCTCAGTCAATGAACTTATTTACTGATATGGTATTGATACAGCTAATACAAAGTAATACGGTACCTGAGGTTTACCTTCCTGGAACTACCACCTGGAACTTCCTTTGCCTACCACCAGTGGGGAGAGGGAAGAAGTTAACGTACTTGTAAATTAGTGTTTGACGTGGTTGGGTTGTTTCTGGGAATTCTTCTCCTATTGGGGCAGATTCATTATTTAGGCTCATAGCAGAACTATCTTTCGCTTTAAGAGGCAGCACATAGGCAGATTTTAAATAAAATTTACACACATCTATCCTTTCAGGGACTTGGAGATAAGAGGAACACATACCCAAGGAATCATAGGTCAGAGCACAGTGTTTGTAGGTGAACAACAACAGAATCTAAGACCAGACAAAGGGGGCTACTAACAAGATGCAATTCAGTCGCTATAACAGGGGCCATCAGAAGGAGCTGGCATTTGACTTTTGACCTGGGCTTAAACAAAATAACAGGATTTGGGTAGGAGGCTCCCGGCAGGGTGAAATGCAGGACCCCTTTGCGGGGCAGGAGTTTAAAGTGGGATGGTGGCTCCCAATTCTGGAGGCACAACAGAACCCATGGAGAAATTTTAACAATATTGATACCCTGGCTCCAGCCCAGACCTTTTAATAAGGATCTCTAGAGCCCGGATACGGCCCTTGGGGACTTTAAAAAGCTCTCCAGGTGATTCTAATATGCAGCTGGGCTTGAGAACTATTGGTGAAGGGGATAGAAAGAGAATAAGCTAGCAGTTAGCCACCACCCTGGAGGGTTTGTTAAAACACAGATGGCTGGGCCCCATGCCAGAGGATTTGATTCAGTAGTTCTGGGATGGGGCCAGAGAATTTGCATTTCTAATAAGGTCAGGCTGACGCTGCTGGTGCAGATATTACACTTTGAAAATCCCTGGGCTAGGACCAGCCTGAGAGGGCAGAGTCCACGGTTGTGGTCACAGAGAAGCAATGGAATGTTTCTGGGATGGAGAGGGACAGGCTCAGGGCAGGCAACAAGTAGGACAGGTGGCCTTGGACCCCTGAGTCTCCTCGTCAATGACAGACACAGTCTCTGGACAATGGTGCCAGGGTGGAGCCTGGGGAGGGATGCATGCCTAAACACCCAGCGAGGGAAGCTGCCTTTCCCCGCTCTGTGATGCACCTCCACCCTCCAGACTGGACAGTGGCGTGGCAGGGCCTCAACTCCCCACTGACCACTCCTCTTGTCCCTGCTTCTTTCCCCAGCAAACTGAAGCCTTTCTACTCCACAGAGGAAAACAGTGAGCTGATGGATATCAGTATACATTCGATAATTTCTCTCCAAGCCCCAGGAGAGGACAATGAGTCCGTTAAGGTAGGTCTCTCTGGGCCACTTCATTTTCTGGGTCAGGACTTGGAAGTTTACATTAACACGGGCAGTGCTGAGAGTACACCTTCCTGAACTACCCCTGAGTGGTTGGAGGCAGCCAAGTGCAGTAGGCTCTGTTAGTAAGTGTAGGGTAATGACGGCTGCTGTAACAGATACACCCTGAAATCTCCACAGATTAACAAGATGAACGCTTATTTCTTACTCAAGTAAAGTCCAGCTGGCAGTGGGGGTGGGGGTGGAGATGCTTCGCACAGTTATTCAGGAACCCAGCCATCTTTAATGTGTGGCTCCTATTGTCCCTGTGGGTACCGAGCCTGGAGAGGAAGAGAAAGAGTATGGAGGATCGAGGAGCCACTTTGCCCACCTTCCATTGGCCAGAACTGAGTCACATGGCTCCATCTAGATGCAAGGGGTACTGGGAAATGTAGTCCTTGACTAAATCGCTGTCTCCCTCCTTGTGGGAAAGGAGGATAAATCTTTTGTGGACAGGTAGCCATCTCTGCATCAATGGCCTGGCCCTGGATGAGAAGTCAGGAAAACTGAGCTCCAGGAGTTCAGTTTCATCCTTTGTAAAATGGGTTCCTCTTAAGAGATTGTCGGGTACATCACATGGGACGATAAGTGTAAAGAACTCAGTCTGAGCGGCGGTAAAGGGGTGATTATCAGACCACCTGGTGTGGACCCCCACAGAGTCCTGATGGGTGGCTGTGTGTGCCTCCTCATGGCTGCCCAGCTCTCCCCTCTCTTGGCCACAGACCCTGTATGCAAATGCCCTGTGCGCCCTGGAGCAACTGATGGAGGGCCTCATGCAGAGGCAGCTGGACCCCAAGGGGCTGCAGGATATGGTGCATGTGAGTGGCCTGGTGGAGGGCCAGGAGCCGCGGATGACCACCCCTCTCAGAACGCTGGCATGAGGGCCAGATTCTCTGTGGGAAACAGGGGGGAGGTGTTAAAATTGTTTTGGTAATTTTATTTTGATAAAATTTCAAATTTGCTGAAAAGTTGCAAGAATAGTACAAAGAGCTCCTGTATACCCTTCACCCAGATTCACAATTCTTAATATTTTGCCATGTTTTCTTTTTCTCTCTCTCTCACTGCACACACACACACACACACACGCACGCACATGCACATGCGCACATTTTTTGCATCATGGAGAGTTAGTTGCAGACTAACTCTTGCTCCAAGAGCAAGAACATTCTCTTATATAACAATACCATGATCAAAGTCAGGAAATTTAACATTGATACAATGCTATATTCTAATCTATGGTCCATATTCAAATTTCATTAATTGTCCCAATAATGTCCCAATTAAATGTCCCAATAATGCTATTTTTCCTTGGACCCAAGATCTGATCTGGATTATGCATTGCATTTAACTGTTTTGTCTCTTCAGTCTCCTCCAGTCTGGAACAGTTCCTCAGTCCATCTTTGTCTTTCATAATCTTGGCATTTTTGGAGGGTACTTGTAGTTTTCTTTTTTTTAAGTTAGCTGGTTTGCTCTCTTATTACTGAGTTTTCAGAGATTTTATATATTCTGGACACAATTCCTTTATCAGATATGTGGTTTGCCAATATTTTCTCCCAGTCTATGACTTGTCTTTTCATTAATTTTGCAGTGTCTTTTGAAGAGCAGAAGTTTTTAAGTTTCATGGAAGTCTAATTTACCATTTTTTTCTTTTATGGGTCATGCTTTTGGTGTCATATCTGAGAAACTTTTGCCTAACCCAAGGCCACAAAGATTTTCTTCTAGAATTTTGTAGTTTCAGATTTTACAATTAAGTCTATGACACATTTTGAGTTAAGTTTTGTATATGGCATGAGGTATGGATCCAAGTTTATTTTAATTTTTTTGCACGTGAATAACCAATTGATCCAGCATCATTTGTTGGAGAGACTATCTCTTCTCCGTTGAATTACTTTTGCATCTTTGTCAAAAATCAAATGACCGGGCGGGCCCCGTGGCTTAGCGGTTAAGTGTGTGCATTCTGCTACTGGCGGCCCAGGTTTGGATCCCAGGCGTGCACCAATGCACCGTTTGTCTGGCCATGCTGAGGCGGCGTCCCACATACAGCAACTAGAGGGATGTGCAACTATGATGTACAACTATCTACTGGGGCTTTGGGGAGAAAGAGGGGAATAAAGGAGGAGGATTGGCAATAGATGTTAGCTCAGGGCCAGTCTTCCTCATCAAAAAAAGGAGGATTGGCATGGATGTTAGCTCAGGGCTGATCTTCCTCAAAAAAAAAATAAATAAAATAAATCGGGGCCAGCCTGGTGGCGCAAGTGGTTAAGTGCACATGCTCTGTTGCAGTGGCCCGGGGTTTGCCGGTTCAGATCACGGGCACACACTGACGCACTGCTTGTCAGGCCATGCTGTGGCAGGCATCCCATATAAAGTGGAGGAAGACGGGCATGGATGTTAGCCCAGGGCCGGTCTTCCTCAGCAAAAAAGAGGAGGATTGGCAGATGTTAGCTCAGGGCTGATCTTCCTCACCACAAAAAAAAAAAAAATCAATTGACCGTTGGGGCTGGCCCGGTGGCATAGCGGTTAAGTGGGCATGCTCTGCTGTGGTGGCCTGGGATTTGCAGGTTCAGATCCCGGGCGTGCACAGATGCACCACTTATCAAGCCATACTGTGGCAGCATCCCATATAAAGTAGAGGAAGATGGGCACGGATGTCAGCCCAGGGCCAATCTTCTTCAGCAAAAAAGAGGAGGATTGGCATCAGATGTTAGCTCAGGGCTAATCTTATTTGCCAAAAAAAAAAAAAAAAAAAGTCAGTTGACGGTGTATGTGTGGATCTATTTCTGGACACCTATTCTGCTCCAGTAATGTATTTGTTTATCTTTACACCAATGTCATCCTGTCTTGTTTCCTGTAACACTATAATAAGTCTTGAAATCAGGAGCAGATAGTATGAGTCCACTGACTTTTTTCTTTGCTGCTGCATCCTGCAAATATTGATATGTTGTGTTCTAATTTTATTTCAGTTCAAAATACATTTTAATTTCTCTTTTGATTTCTCCTTTGACCCGTGAGTTATCTAGAAATTTCCAAATATTTCAGTGTTTTCCAGGGATCTTTCTGTTTTTGATTCTTAATTTAACTCCACTGTAGTCTGAGGACATACTTTGTATAATCTGACTCCTTTTAAATCGCTTGAGACTCACTTTGTTGCCCAGGTGTGGTCTGTCTTGATGAATGTTCTGTGTGCACTCGGAAAGCATTCTGCTGTGTTGGGGAGAGTGTTCCTAAATATCAATTAGGCCAAGCTGGTTGGTAGTGTTGTTCAAGTTTTCTGTATCCTTCATTTTCTGTCTTCTTGTTCTATCAGTTACTGAGACAGAGGTACAGCAATCTCTATCACTGTGGAATTCTTCATTTCTACTTTCAGTTATATCAGTTTTTCCTTCATGTATTATTAAGATCTGTTATTAGATGGAAGAACATTTATGCCCTGAGCGCAGGGCAGGCTGTGCTCCTGGCCTTTTCACCTCAGGCAAACATTTGGAGCAAGACTAAATATATCAGCCAAGCGCCTTCTTGGTGAGGATGCTGGGGGCACTGTCTCTCTGCCCACAGCCTCATCTCCCTAGTTGTGGCGCCTGGAAAGAAAACTAGAAGTTGCTAGAACCTCCCAGAAGCATCGAAAGTCAGACTTTGAGTGGGAAAGACACGGAGGGCAATAGCTGACCAGGAAAGGGCTGGCCCTGGGGTTTTTAACGTCCCCTTCTGTGTTCTGGGCTCTACCCATAGCTCCTGGAAAAGTGGATCTTGTCAGAGAAAGAATGGGAGCGGGAGAAGGCCATGAACCTCCACCTCCGTCTCATGCAGACCTACGTCCACAGCATCGGCGTCTGCGTGAGTGCAGGAGCACCCAATCCCCCAGCCTGCCACATCCACAGAGAAATACCTGTCTCTCTCCACGAGAAGAGGGAACACTTTTGAAATCAAGTTCTGCCCCCTGAAAAGTCCCTTGGGAAGAGACTGCCTCATTTGGGAATGGCAGAGGAGAGCCTTCAAGGAGCTAACCCTGGGGCTCTGGGTGGAGGGTGAGGGAGAGGATGGGGCCGTGGCTTGGTGTGGATCCAGGTTTTGTGGGGAATGAGAGCCCTCTTTAAGAAAAATGATACACAATGATGAATACCACATTGGTTAGGAAAGTGAATTTTTACTTGGAATGAGAAAATAAATCATTACAAAATTACAAGTTTTACAAAGAACCACAAGTTTGACAAGAACCACAAACATCAAGAAATCTAGAAAAGTGATGAGGTGTTTTTGTTGATTAAGCGCCTGACATGGCCCGATGAGACCTCTCTTCCTACATTTGTTGGCCTCATGCTCTTTGATTGCCGGGTCTCCAGGGATGGTGTCGGCAGGAGGATGATGGTGTCCCGGGGCTGGGATGTGGGGACGGGCCTTGGGTCTCAGGGCTAGTGCATGGTGAGAAGAAGGCAGGTGGGACCCCGGTGGGGTCACAGGCCAGCAAAGCATGGCCTGGGCCAAACCTAGTGCTAGATGACGTTTAAGCCAGACGCTGTGTAGAGTGCGTTGCCTGGATTCTCTGATGCAATTTTCACGACATTCCCTGAAAGAGGAGGCCCCATTATTATCTCCAATTTACAGGTGAGGAACATGAGGGCCTGAGGCTAAATACCCTGCCCAGATCACACAGCTAGAGAGTGGAGAAGTCCAGATTTGAACCCAGGGCTCAGGAACCCAGCTACAGGAACAAGGCAGGCACCCAGCCATAGACCCTGGGCCTGTGGTCAGAGGGGCGAGTCCTGGACCAGACTCCTTGGATCCTGGCTGCTTGGCCTCCAGGGACCCAGCTGTGGGGCTCGGCAGGTGGAAGCTCAGAGGGCAGGCAGATGGTGGCGTCCTCCCCCTGCCCAGACAGGGTGGGTGTTTTCAGAGGGGGTTTGCCCTCTCTGGCTGCCCATTACGCTGCCCCTGGGCAGCACCGGGCGTGCACGTGCACTGGGTACACACAGAGGGTGTGAGCCTTGAGGTCTCCTATCCCTCAGATCCCCCTGAAGTTGGGGCAGTTTGGCACACTGGTCGGACTCATCGCCCCATGCACCTGTGACTCCCACAGAAGAACCCGTATGGCCTCAATGGATGTCCTGTCCAGCCTGCTGGATCTTCATGGTATGGGGAAGGTGGGACGTCAGGACCAGGCTCTCCAGGCTGGGAGGGAGGGCGGACACCAGGGATGTCAGCTGTGAGGCTGTCCTGGGGGAGGAGCATGGCCTGTCCGTGTAGACAAACAAGGGGGACCAGCAGAGACAGCAGAAGGGGTGGTGCAGAGCTCACTGGAAGGCCATGAAAGTTTCTGGAAAGAGAGGATCATTGGTTCAGTGATACTTGCTGAGCGCATGTGCCAGGCACTGGGGCAAGGTGAGCTCACAGTTACCAAGGGCACCGCAGAACTGGGCAGAGAAGAGCTCAGGGAGAATGCAGGGTGGTGACCTTCAGAGGGGGAGAGTTTGCCTTTGGCTTGGTGGCTGGCAGAGCGTCCATCACAGGAAGGCCTCCAGGAAAGCAGGCATCTGAGCTGCATGTAGAGGTGGTGAGGGGAGAGCGAGCAATGAGAGCGAAGGCAAGAAGGGATGGGATGTCCGGAAGCTAGAGAGTGGCCCAGCCCGCAGAGCCAGGGCGCCCCAAGGGCCAGGTGGGAGGCAGCCATGATGTGGGCTGTGGCTGGGCCCTTAGTCCTTGCTGATCGTGTCTGAAATTGTACCTCAACAGCAAGCCAGACGTGCCACTCATGGGGCGCCTCCAAGGAGTGGGAGCTTGCCAAGTGTAAGGAGGACCTCAAGGGCTTGCACGAAGAGAAGATTTCCAGTGTGTCCTCCAGAATCGCCAAGGTGACTAGCGGGAAGGTTGTGTGAGCTGCTGGGCTGGACTTGGGCTCCTGGGCCATCTCTAGGGGGCAGGACCTTGCTCAGCCTGGCTGCACAGCCCCCATCCTCCTCTGGGGGTCACAGACCCCATGGCCTTTGGTCCAACACATGCCATCTCTATTTAAATGACCTTCAATATGTGAGGTCCCCACTGGGGTGCCTGGCACACAGTAAGTACTTAACAGTGTCCAGCTGTCTTCTCTGTCCCTATGATGTGCTCCACTGGGGGTGGAGGGGGCCCCAGAGAGAATGACAAGAGGCGAAGCCTAGAGGCGTTGGCACATGGGCCTGTGGGTGGCACACTGATGCCTGAAAGTGCCCAGAGCCGCCCAAACTCTTGGGGCCTCAGAGGAGCGAGGTCACTTCTGCCTCAGGGGGCAGGGGTGGCTTCCTGGAGCAGGGGGCTTGTGAACAGGCAGGACGAGTTTGGAGGGCATCTGGGCTCAGGGCACAACTTGAGGGAATGCTGCGTGGACAGGTCCGGGAGGGTTTAGAGTGAAGTTTCCTGTGCGGGGTGGGGGCAGGTGATGAGGTCGGGGAGAGGTTAACGCACATCCCGGAGGCATTGGAGAGCCAGGCTGAGCCCCTGGAGGCTTTGAAGTAGAAGAGTGACGTCCTGAGCAGGCCTGTGACTGGGATGGCGAGAGGCTGGGCAGCGAGGCAGGGAGGCAGGGAGGAGGCGGTGGCAATGGTTTGAGAGAGGATGGTCGCCTGGGCTGGGGCTGCGATGTTGGGCAGAGGAGGAGGGGATGTCAGCAGTGACGGGGGGCAGGGGAGTTGGCCTGGGACTTCACCGTCAGACCCCAGGACTGGCCTGCTCTGGTCCTAGGTGGCGTGCGTGCAGTTTAATTGTGATGAGGTGGTCTCGCTCATCCAGAAGCTCTGTGAGAACATCGGGGCCGTGGACCTCCAGCACGACAGGGCCTCTGTCACCTGGATAGGCACCTTCCTCCAGATGCGGGTCAAGGAGCTGGAGGACAAGGTGGCAGAGCTGTGGCCAGGCAACCTGGGGACTGGGGCTGGGAATGCCTCCCCAGACCCTTGGTTGTACAGAGGAGGAAGTAGAGTTCTAGAATGAGAAAGAAACGTGTTAAAGGTAGCCTGGGCAGAAAGTGGACAGTGGACTGGAGGCCCAAGGCTCTCTCTCCCAGAATGCACCACCTCCCACACTGAATATCTGAGAAATCCAAGAAGAGACCAAAGGATGTGTTGGAGGGGCTGCTGGCGGTTTAACCTACCCAGCGTCCAGTTGGGCCAGAGTCCCTGAAGGAGGGGCGTGCAGTGGGGTGAGGGCAGGAGGCCTATGGTGACTGGGCTGCCCTGGTGATGCCCCATCCCCTCTCAGGTGGCGGAGATCCTGGGCGCCATCCTGGTCCACCTGCCCGTGGTGGATCACCTGGAGGTGCGGCGCCTCCTCATTGAGGGCATCCTCCTGCTGGCGCACTACCACCAGGAGACGGTCCTCACGTCACTCCTGAGGCAGCCCCTGCCCATGGAGAGGTGGGTGCCCTGGCTGGGGGGCCACGGCCTCCTGTGCAACCCAGACCGTGCCTGACTTGCCACCACTGACGCATCCCAGGAGACCGGGGCCTTGAGTAGTGCCTGGCCTGACCCTGGGGTGGGTCAGACCCTCTCCTGCATCTCTCGTGGGAGGGACAGCCTCTGGGGAGCCGTGGTCCTGGAGCTCCGATGTTACAGCTCTGTCCTATCGAGCTGGAATCCGGATCCCGTGGCTTCTCACATGTCTAGTTGTACCGTCTGCTCTCGCCATGGCAGCCTTTTCCTTCCCTGTGGAGGACATTGCTCCGGGCACCCTCCGGGTTTGGGCTTCTCCAGGATAACCTCAGGACATGGCCCCCAAGGCCTGAGCAGGCCTCTGGAGAAGCTCTGCTGTGTCCTTCTTCCTTTCCAAATGCTGCCCTCAGAGGGGAAGCAACTGGTCCAGGGGCCCAAGGGACAAAATGGCAGAACCTCAAGCCCCTCAGGTGGCCTTGTGGGAAAACAGCACAACCCTGTCCTCCTCGGTGTTACCTTCACAAACAGCACGAGTCCCTCTGTCACAGCGTCGCACAGGTGGTGGCAAGACCTCGCCCAATTTGGGGAGTGTGTTGGGATGGTACCAGAATTCGTGGGGGCGGGCCCAGAAAGAGGCAAGCAGTTGTCCAGAGTAGCAGAGACCAAGGAGCAAAGAGACTGTTGGTGGAGAGAGACATGGCAGATGTCACGTAGGATGCTGTGAACAGAGAAAAGAGAATTTCAAACACAGGCCTCAGATCAAGAACCCCAAGAGTGTGAACTGCAGACCTGGCTCTGCTGGCCGTGGAGCTGCTTCTCGTAAGGACAGCCCCACCACATGTCCAGGTGGGAGAGCAGTGCAGATCGCTTGATTTAACGAGGGTTAGCAGCTCTCAGAGCAGTGGTGGGGGCCTCCGTCAGGCTGGCGTTCTTGGTGGCCACATCGTACTGGCTTTCACTGTGTTGGTTAGCTATTGCCGCGTAACAAATTGCCACCAACTTGGAAGCTTAGAATGACACCCATTTATTATCTCACAGTTTCCTGGGCACAGCTGAGCTGAGTCCTCTGCTCAGGGTCTTACAGGCTGCATCAAGGTGTCAGCTGGGCTGCATTCGTTTCTGGAACCCAGGTCCTTCTTCAAGCTCACATGGGTTTTTCTTGCCGTTGTAGGACTGAGGCCCTGCTTTCTTATTTCCTTACACCCCCTGTGGCTTCTTTACGAGAAGTTGCTGCTAATGAGTGCATTGTGCCCACCTCTCCATTCAATTCCTACCACCAGGCCCCCTACTGTGTCTCCCCCCAAAACTCAGCTCCCCACACTTGTGCATTTGGTTTTCTGGGTTCAGATAGGCAGTTTACACAACTCCTTGTTCAATTTGACCTTGTTGGACTTGTTGCTTTAGCCCTTTAGAACCTACCAGATCCCCACCACCCTGCACCTATGTACACCGGGCCCATTAAGTCACTACCCTGGGACCCCTCCCTTCTCAGCAGGGCTGTGGGCTTAGACTTGGGGATCAGGAAGGCTGCTTCACATTGTAGTCTTGCAGGTCACCTGACCTCCGTAAGCCTCATTTCCTCTTCTGTGGAATATGAAGATGGAAACATCTTCCCCAAAGATGTGTTGGGAGGAGTAAGTGATATAATATCAGTGAGCTGCCTACGACTAGCCTGACACAAATTGGATACTTGGAGGCTGTTACTGGACACGTCCATAAAGTCATCCAACGATAGGCCTGGTGGGGACTTCTGAGGTCACCTAGCAGCGGAGCCCTGGCTTCCAAGGGGGCCATGGCTTTCCCAGAAGTACTGTGAGCAGAGAATGGTGGCTGAGCATGGAGTCAGGGACCTGGGTTCTAGTTATGCAACCTGTGGGGGCTTACTCCACTTCCCTGAGATTCAGGCTCCAGAGTCCAACCCCTCCTCAGGGGGCTGCCCGGGGGCCCAAAGGGGCTCTTACCTTGCAGGGCGAATGGCAGGAGACCCACAGTCCTTGTTCCCTTTCTTCGGCTAGCCACCTGACGGAAGTGTGGCTGGCTGTGGCAGAGAACATGCCCTTTGCCCGGACGATGCTCCATGGGCTGATGGGCAGGCTGCAGTCACGGTTCACTCCCAGGGCCAACGCCACCTCCAAGGCCGACATCTGGCGCCTGGCTGCGGTGGACCCTCTGATGGTGAGTCAGAGGGGCAGGCCCCGGGGCTCCTCGGGGAGTTCAGAGTAGGAGCCCGACATCTCTGGCCTTTCTCTCTGCAGACCCTGTGCACCATCCACCTTCTCATTGAGAAGATGCACAAGGATGACGAGCTCCCGGACATCTTCCCTGACCTCATCTACACCCTCCTGCTGCAGCTCAGCAGCAGCCAGGGTCCAGAGGCTGTGTCGCCCGTCCTGAAGACGTGGAGACTCGTTCACACAGGGACCCTCCCTGAGGAGATCAACCTGAAGAGGTGCTCTCAAGGGAGGGGGCATGGAGTGCAAGGCAGTGGGCTTGGGCTGGAAGCTGCCTCTTAGAAGTCAGTGGACTCCAAGAGTCACCTCCTCCGAGAGGATCTCATCATCCCCTCTTGGTAGGGAGAAGTTTCTGGAAGCTGATCTTATGACTCTCCCTCACATGTATCCAGGACGGCATGGTTTTCAGATTTGCAGACCTCCTCTCTCACGTGATCACCCCTTTGCCCCTTGGCTAGGCCCAGCCTTGGGACCTCTGCTTTGCAGACCTGGGTGTGATGCTCACCCCTCTGAAGTGCAGTGGGTGCTCCCAGTGGGCAGGCACGTGGTGACGCAGTCCCACCTTCTTTCAGGATCACGATCAAATCTATGCAGCTTCTGTGCAAGAGACTCAACAATGAGTGGCTGGTTCATGCTCTGGAAGAGCAGGGCGTGTGGGCCCTCCTCGAGAGCAGCTCGACGTTCCTGCAAGGAGTGGGCCTGCTGGCCAGGTGGGCGCCAGGCTCCCAGGGGAGTGGGAAAGTGGGACTTGCAGAGGTGGCTCCTAGTTGGACGGTCTAGGTCGTGGCTGAATGCCTCACTTCTGGGGGGTCGCCAGGTTGACCCCCTGGGAGTCAGAGTCCCAGACTCTGGGATGGCCATAATGCGCAGGGCTAAGGAGATCTCTCATTCCAACCCTTTCTGCTCCAGGGCAGCAAATGTGAGGTCAGAGGTGGGTGGGGCTTGCCCAAGGCCACACAGCGCTTCTGAGCAGGGCCAGGAAGGGGAGTTACTTCCCAGGTCCTGATCAGTCACAAGTGGCCCCCATTCTGGTCCCCTTTCATAAAAAGGACATGGAAAGTAAGTGCCCTGACCAGACCCCCTGGGCGAGGAGGGAACAGCTGGGTGTTCAGAGATCTGATCACGGGCGCCCCGCTCTGGAGCAACCCTGCCAGGCAGGAGCTGAGAAGCCTTCCCGCCCGGCGGGCTGCTGTCCTCTGCAGGCTGTGTGTGCGGAATGTGGAGGGCTACAGGCAGAGGCTGTCGGAGCTGGTGCTCAGAGGCATGGACTCGGAAGTCCTGAGCTGCCGCGTCAGCAGCACCGCGGCCTGCGTGGAAGTGAGGCGCAGGGCGCAGGGGATGGGGTGGGCTGGGGCAGGCTGGTGGGTGACCCTGGGGCTCTTCTGGGGGGCTCACCTCAGGGGCAGACGCTCAGGCTCTGAGGAGCACCTGAGTCCCAGGGGGCAAGCAAGCATCCCTCATTTGTGTCTTCATTCACTCATTCACTCCTTTATTCATTTATCACATGAGTAACTCGGGGCGGGCACTGTAGGGATAGAGGGGCTGAGACTGGCCTGTGCCCTGAAGCATAGCAGCCAAGTGATGTGTAGCACAGTGAGTGCCAGCAACACCCAGAGGCCCAGAGGAGGCGCCTGGGGCTCTCCCTGGGATCAGGGCGCTGGGGGAGTTCTTGGAGGGCTCTGAGAGGTGAACAGGCTTTGCCAGGCAGGAAGGCTGGGGAAGGGTTTTATGGCCACTGGGGCCCAGCTCCCCTTCCACGTGGGGGGGTGCTTATGGGGTCCTGAAGGAATTGGCCAGAAAACTTTTAGGAGAAATTTTATTGGCTGCAATGATACCCAATTTGCCGTAGGAACCAAACACCGGCCTGGTGCAGGGGTCAGCAAACTTTTCCTGTAAAGGGCCGCAGAGTGAATACTTGACTTTGGAGTCACCAGTTTGGTGTTTAGTTTTCTTTAGGTTTATTTAGAACACACACACACACATGTGCACACACCCCGTTGGCCTGAGGTCCTGGCTCTTTGAGTGCTGGGCCAATAGTGCCTCTCTGAGTCCCAGATGAGAAATTCATGCTTCTTGTGCACTTCTGTTCAGACCCAGTGGGCATGGCTCTTGCACACGGTAGCTGCTCAGTCATGTTAACTGAAGAAATGAATGATGAATGAATGTATGAATGTAGGTAACACAGATCTAGCATTTCCCATGTCTTTCCTTATGGAATCTTCACAACAACCTATGAGGCAGGTGCTAGTATCATCCTCTTTTTATAGATGAGGAAACTGAGGCTCAGAGGGGTTAAGGGACTTGTCAGGGTCCCACAGCTGGTGGGTGGAGAAGCCGAGTTGGTTCCGGGGGTCTGGGCTCAGAAGCCTCTCCTATCCACAGAGAGACCGTTCTGTGCATTGAATATAATCACACGTCCCTTCTCGTGGCTGAGAAATGGGCCTGTGTTGGGGATAACCGTAAAAAGCTCTCCCTTCTAGTTGATGAGCGACCCGATTCTGTACCAGGAGAAGCTGCTGAAGCCCGCGGTGCTGATGCTGGAGAAGGGCGTGGACCAGGAGGACGTGGCGCTGCGGGTGCTCTCCCTGCGCGCCCTCGGCAACATGGCCCTTGGCGCCCCCAAGAAGGTGCTGTGCTCGACCCCAGGGCCTGGAAGGCTGAGGGTCCTGTGGGGGCGTGTTCCGGTCAACCAGTGGAGCTGAAGGCTCCCTGTGCCCCCCAGGTGAGGCAGTACCGGAAGCTCCTACTGGAGAAGTGCCTGTGTTCCCTGAGGGAGCCCATGAGCGCCAGCGTGACCTCTGAGGGCATGGAGGCCCTGGCCAAGATCCTGGCCGAGCTGCGGGAAGGAGACGTGGGGTCCTCCTTCGACGCCATCTCCGAGCAGTGCAGGGCCTTCTTCAACAATGTGAGTCCCGACGAGAGCCTGGCTGCGTCCTGGCCTTCGGTGGGGTCTCCACAAATGCCCGCACAGTGAACCAGTGAGCACTTCTAATCCCTTAAAGGGATGTGCTCTGGACCAGGAAGGGCCACAGGTCCGACTTAGCTGATGAATCAATTGGCTGATCACGGGATCCTGTAAAAAAAAACCTCTCGCTTTAGGACCCATGGGACCCCCTGCCCTGCTATTAGGGAATGAGGATCCCCTTTTAATTCTTTGCAGCCCACTGATGGTCTTTGGGCACCTCTGACGTGCTGGGTGGGCACTCCGCTAGGCAGCGATGTGCCTTCAGATCCGACACAGCCCTCGTCCGGGGAAGGGAAGGTCACAAACACCAGAATAATGCCCAGTCCCACAAGCACTGCAGAGAGACTCTGTCCTGATGGAATGATCCAGAAGCCTTCACAGGGGCCAAGGCATTTAAAAGGGTCCACAGAGAACGGCTAGGGTTTTGTTGGGCTTCCTGCTTCCCGGATTTCAGACGTGTTTGTACGTCTTGGCTGCAGGAGAGCGGGCTGCTGCGGCTAAATGCCTTCATCCTCTTCGGGAAGCTGGCGAAGGTAGTCAGGATTTCCAAGAAGCACTTCTTCAAGAAGGAAGTGAAGAAAGCCTGGATCCCCCTCATGCTGCACTGCCAGGACCCCTGCTCCGATGCAGCCCAAGTAAGACACACTCTCACCTCTGTGTCCCCCAGTCTGGGGCCGCGGTCCCCCCAAGGAAAATGTACTTGGGGTCTCCTGGCTCAGCTAGCTGCGGGCTTCCCCCGCCTCGCTCACTCTCCCCAAGAGCCCAGAGGCCACAATCTGCCCGATTCCTCCTGCCAGGCCAGGGAAAGGGACATTCAAAACGACCCACACACCGGCTTATGGAGGGGTCTCAGCTCTGTGGGGAAACAGGGCATGGTTTCCTTCCTCTCCAGACACAGCCTTCAGGCACCCTCCACCAGTTCCCCTTCCTTCTCCCAGATTCTCGAACTTGCCCTTCACTCTTGTGTATTATGACTTGGTCACTTAAAACTCGCCTTAAATCTCTCCTCACCTGTTCCCAGTGGGGCTGGCTTGTGCTGGGGGCTGCTGGGTATAGTGGAGGGGTGCCTAGCTCTCCTCCCTCTCCAAGGCCCAGCAACCCCATTGCTTTAGGGTAGGAGGAGGGAGAGGGGGAGACCCATGTCTCCTTGTCTAACCACTGCCTCTCAGGCTAACACTGGCTGGCTGGGGACACACGTATATGGAACAACTCACCCTACACACCGCCCATGACCCTGACCTCTGTCTTCTTGCCCCCCCATCTTCCTATATGGACTGGGGAGGGGGTGGCTGGGATTAGGGGCAGTTCTGCCACCTCGTAGTAAGCTGTGGGTTTACAGGGGGCTCCAAACGAGGGGTGCTTAACAGCTCATTTTCAACTAGTGCCCAGTCCCTGATTCTGGGGTTGCAAGATAAATCCCCTCCCTCCTGTTGCTCTGAGGGCTGCAGGTGTCCATGTGGGGTGAGGTGCTGTGGGTGGCATCCGCAGGGAGGTGAGGGGTGTCCTGCAGGGCATTCCTGACTCGGGCTTTGCTCTCATCCTGCCTCCCTGTCTGGCTCCATCTCGGGGACGCTCATGACCCGGGGCACGAAGCACCACCTCCTGGAGACTCCTGTCCTCACTAATAATCCTCACTACCCTCATCAGCGGCTCACACTGCTCTTTCCCATTTCCTCAACAACTGTCCTGCGGGGCAGTTCTTCAGGGAAGGCCTGAGGGCACACGCAGAAAGGTCGCCAAGAGGGTCAGTGAAGGAACCACACAGAGGGGTGGGGTCAGGGGAGACTGACACAGGATGGCCCAGCTCATGCTGCTGCCAGTCCTATCCCCAGGGAATAGATACCCCCACCTCTCTCTTCCTGCCCTCCAGTCTCCTGTCAGTGTCCTCTGTGGAGGCCGGGGGCCAGGGGACCTGGCTGCTGCAGTACACAGGGACACAGGGATGGGAAGAGCTGGTAGAGGGCATCTGGCGGGATAAGAAAGCTCGCCCGGTCCTGCCAATCCCAGCCAGGCTCCCGACCCCAATCTCCTGGAGGTGTAGGTCCCCAGCAGGGGTGCTGAGGGCACCAAGGTGCTGGCTAAGAGGTGAGTGGGCCGCATCTGCCCCAAGGGGCTTTTTATACATGCACACGCAACCATTGCACAGGCTGGTGGGGCTCTGGTCCAGGTACCCTCCCAGGCCCACCAGCCTGCCCTTCTTTGGCTTTCTGAGGCTTTTCTGGGGCTGCCCTCCGGCTTATTGATGGAACGCCAGCCCCGCCCCTCGTGTGAACCCCCTGGTCCGCCTGACGCCTCTCCCGCTGTCCTGCCCTGTGTCCCTCCAGGCCTGCACGGCTACCATGTTTCAGTGCGTGCGCTTCTGGGGCTGGAAGGCCCTGGAGAGCTCCTCGGGCCCAAGGGACGCCAGTGCGGCTGACGAGATGACCGTTTTCCAGATAACCCTGTGCTCCGTCCTGGTGAGGAAGCTGAGGGGGGACGGGCCCATTGGAGGTGGCCACACGGTGGCTTGGGGCTTAGGGTCATGGCTGCCACAGACTTCCATCTTGGGACTCTGGGTTCACCTTCTACACACGACGTATCAAGACCAGCGCCGTCCAGCAGAAATAGAGTGCAAACCACACGCTGATTTTAAGTTTTCTAGTATCTGCGTTAAGAAAAGGGAAAAGAGGTGAAACCAAATTTAATAATAGATTTTACTTAACCTAATAGATCCAAATCATTGTCATTTCAACATGTAATCAATATAAAAATTATTAATTTGATAGTTCACATTTTTTGGGTACTGTCTCCCAAATCCAGGAGGCACTTCACACTTAATTCAGACTAGCCACATTTCAAGAGCTCAAGGGCCACATGGCTACCGTAGTGGACAGCCTTGCAGGTTGTGGACAAATGTAATCACATCTCTGGGTCAGATAGAAGGTAACAGGGGCTGAAGGTCCCTAAGTTACCCAGCTACTAATTTGCTGTGTGACACTGGGATGGGCAGTTGCTCTCTCTGGGCAGATCCTCCGGCATCAGACAGATGGGAACGCACTTTGTGAGCAGCCGGTTGCCAGGACCTCATCCTCGACGGCTCTGTGCGTCGCTTGTCTGTTGCAGACTCAGAAGAAGCCTGCTATTCTCTACGGCTTCTTGCTGGAAACAATGACCTACGTGACAAGTAACCTGTCAAGGATCAGAATTGCTGCGTGCAACCTGGCAGGTGAGCGGGCAGGTGTCTCCTGATGCAGGAGGGACCTTGAAGGCCATTGGGCCAGACCCGGGTCTGGACGGGGAGGGGGACAGGTGTTGGGACCAGAGCTCAGGTGGAAGTCCCCCTCTCCGCCCCCTGCTGCCTACCTGCCCGATTCTCATTTAGGCGTCTGCACCTGAACCCTAACGGATACCCTCATAGGGTAAAACCAGGTCTCTCTCCGACCTCATGTTCGTGTGATGAGCACTTATTTCCCTGGCTATCGTTTTAGGAATTATTATGAAGCAGATGTCCACACATTATCTGAAAAAGCTGGACTTCCCAGCGTTACGGAATTGTGAGTAGTGGATACTCAGTTGTATCTGGTCCGCTGAGCTCATCTGGGGAGCTTAGTGAAACCGCCCGAGGGAGGGGCGGGTGTAACCAGGGCACTGAGAGGTGGATGAGCCTGGGGAGGGGTTTCTGGGAAGACAAATATTGGTTCTTGGTGCCTTCTGCCCGCTCCCCCTTCACGAATATTTCTGGAAGGCTTCTGCCCTGATTCAGCTGAACCACACGGCAGTCGGGTCCTGTGGGTGATCTTTCTGTCCCGGTCAGAGAGGGAGATGGGAGATGGGGGTGAAGACACAGCGCCCCCTGCCGTCCTGACTTCAAACGAGGGGACTGCACGTCTGCGGCCCACAGTCAGCTTCCTGGGCCTCCTTCCACCAGCACACGGGACACGCGGGGGCGCGCCTGACCACGAGGGTCCCGACGCTCTCGCGTTTGTGCTCACTCAGCTCTCCAGGAGCTACAGCTGGACTCGGATCCTGGGGTCCAGAGGGCAGCCCTGGAGACTCTCCAAGTCTTGGATACGTGTAGTCAGCACTGGCTTTTGGCTTCACCGGAAGGAATTTCCTAGGTGGTCCGAGTGTGACGTGTAAACTTCCTCCCTAGGGCGCCAAACCCTGCCACAGCACCGCCAACGAGGTTTAATTTACTTTGTAAGAAAAGCATTGTTCTCAAGTACTCACATCCCGTTCCTTCCTCCCATTGAAATAAACCTCCGCTGCCATTTGGAGTGCAGTCCTGACCCTCTGGTGACGACATCCAGTGCCAAGACAGTGGACAGGGACACCTGTCCCAACGGGCCGTTTCATTCCTGCTCCCCCTCCCCCGAGTGTGTGATGTCAGACGGCCCCTCAGCTGGAAGCATCTGCAGCCACCTTTGTGTCTTCGCCTGCATTCCAGTCCCATCCACGCTGACCGAGTGTCCACTGCCAGGCCCCGTGCCAGGCGGTGAGGGGAGCTGGGCTACTGTTCAGCCTCTGCCCCAGGGACCCGGTCTTAAAGGGAAAGGAGGCATCTACCAGTGGATGATGATACACACCAGAGTGAGGATGGCGGCAGCCAGGGTGGGGGTGACCTTGAGCTTAGCAGGGAGTGTCCACCAGCCTGGAGATAAGTGACGTATACCAGGCCTACCCTCACTCTTCCCCTCATCGGAGCCTGATGGGACAGGCTGGGGCAGGGACCCAGTGAGGCCTGGAACAGAACCTGGCTGAGGGTCAAAAAGGAGAAATTATCTCCACGTCCAAGAAACAGGCAGGGGAGGGCGGGGAGAGCAGGGTAACTTTTCCTACACACAGGCCAGCAGGAGACTAGTCTTTGGTCGTCCCCAGAGCAGGTAAACGTGGGACTTCCAAACCATCCCCATCACAATTGCCAAAGGCGGTCATCACACTGGGCTCCATCTGCGGGAGAGGGCTGCTGAGCCGGCAAAGAATTGACCCCGTGGCAAAGGCCAAGTTATTTTCTGCCAAGCGATGAAGAGCATTGCTGCTAGAAAACTTGAATACCACAGACACGGTGGGCATGGGTATGTTGGTCTATAGGATTGGGGGAAGAGCTATACACTTGTACAGTTAGGTCTCCAATTCTTGCCATGTTCGTGCAAAACATTTCCAGGTGGTTTCTAGACCTAAACTTGAAAAGCGAAAATGTAAGACAATAGAGTATTTTTGATGCTGAGAGTAGGGTAGGTTTTCTTTTAAAAGTAACAGCGGAAGCCAGCAAAATTAATGAGTTAATCTGACTTTGTTAAAATGTAACTTCTGTACAATAAAATGCTGTCAAGTTAAATGACAGATCACAGATGGAAAAAGCTACTTGCAATGGATATAAAACTAGATTGATTCATATAATTGGATTGGCATCTAATATACCCAAATCAGTAAGAACAAAGCAAATAAAAAGTGTCACGACAGGACACTCGGAAAGCTAGCACCCCCAGGAAGACACGCAAACTACAATGTAGTACATTTCACACCCACCATAATGGCATAGTGGCACCGACTGGTGGCAGTTACTTGGGGCAATGGCACTAATTATATTGCTGGACAGAGTGCAAACTGGAATAGCCATTTGGGAGAGCAATTTGGCAATAATTAGGGAAGTTGAAGACACACCCATCCATGACCACTTCACCTCTAGGTGTAGGGATGCCACAGGTCAACCTACACACACGCACAGGGATCGCAGGTGAATGCCTTCTAAGCAGCAAACACCCAGCAGGACAACGGAGTAGACCATCGACCTAGAGGACTCATAAAACGAGAGACACCCCCAGGCAGCAGCTCCTGTCAAGTGCACTTCTTGGTGAAATGAAGTTGCAGGATACATACAGTACTGTTATGTATGTGAAAGTTAAACACACAGACCATTCCATATAAAGTTTATGGGGTCCTTTATTGGCAGAGCCTATAAACCGGCTAACAACCAGGCCCAATCTCTTCCGCCTGGGCTTCCTCCACTAGATGACAGAACATCAAACACTTGATCTTCCAGTCTCTCTGGCAGCCGGGCGTGGTCTGGCTGAGACCTCAGCACAGGTCTGCAGGGTGTGATGGGGGTGCAAGGCAAGGCACAAGTAGTTTTGGGAAAAAGATGAGTTTGTCTGATAAAGAGGAAAGGATGGGTTGTGCTCTTTGGAAGTTGCTGACAGAAGAGGGTGGTCTAGACAAATCCAGGGGCCACTCCAGCCCTGGCTGAGCCTGAGCCAGCAGCCCCCACCAGGCTGGGCAGAGGGGAAATGAGCCTCCTGCCAGTGTAAGGCTCTTGGCCAGGTTCTCAACTCCTTACCGATTCACAGGGCTCTGGACTGAATGTGTCCCCCAAACTCACACGTGGAAGCCCTAACCCCGCGTGATGGCATCTGAGATGGGGCCTTTGGGAGGTGATTAGGGTTAGATGAGGTGGTGAGAGTAGGGCCCTCCTGATGGACATCAGTGCCCTTATAAGATACACACCATGTGAGGATGCAGTGAGAAGGCAGCTGTCTGCAAGCCAGGGAGAGGGCTCTCGCCAGAGCCCCGGCACGTCAGCACCCTGATCCTGGACTTCCAGCCTCCAGAACTGTGAGAAATCAGCTTCTGTTGTCTAGGCACCCAGTCTACGGTATTTTGTTACAGCAGCCCGAGCTGACACAGGTACGTGGCCCCAGCGTCAAGGGTACACATTAACACCAGGAGAGCAGTAGCCCAGGGAGGGGCACGGGAAAGAAAGGTGTGTAATTTAACCTTGTCTCTAACCTTTTATTTAAAATAAAAAGTCCAGAACACACAGTGATTTTTTACTTTTTTATTTACTCAGGATGGTTGGTACATGGGTTTTATTACTGTGTTCTGAATATTTGAAATATTTTATTTAAAAAGTCACTGTGATACCCTATTATAAACAGCTCCAACAAAAATCATGAGATGTCACGGATGCCGTGTGGCTGTGAGAGTGTTCTGGGACCATCACAGGACTGTTAAAATACAGCACGTTTTCATCTAGAAATAGTAAGTTGTTAGGAGTTACTTTCTATGGTGACTTACATTATGATTCAGTTTGCTGCCTCCTAACATGGAAGATACCAAGTCCCATGGGTCTGCGTTTATAAGACTAAGCAGCTGTATTTTCCTTCGAGGATCATTGTAGGCTTCAACTTAGGTTTCACAGCAAACAATATTCTCTAACGAAATAGAACATGTATGGAAGAATTCTCTAGACATGTCTAAATCTAAAAGAAAACATGAGAAAAATAGGCCTATCAAGGATAACATTAAAAATGTTAATTGAGCAAATTTATTCAAATGATTTCCACAGCAAGAACTGAGAGTCATCTCAATGAAACCAATTTCACTGAAATTTGCTTTGAAGGCAGATAAGGGAAGCGGGTTCTAACATATTCTTGAGAATTAAAAAAAAAAACCCAACACAGTAAGGGGGATGAGGAACAAAAAATCTAAAATAACTTGGCTATAGATTTTCAGCTTTGAATTTTTCTAACACAAAATCACTTTTATCTTCCGTCCTGAAAGATGTGTTGTTCTTTCTTCTAGGAAAAAAAAGACAAAGAAAATGATTTCAGTAAAATTCCACTAGAATTCCCAATGCCAGCCACCAAAAGCAGAACTGTTTTATGTTTATTCCATTGCATGTATATAAATATTTGCGTGTCCACTATAGAAAATGCCACCATGCTTAATAAATACCCTAAGGAATGTAAAAGAAAAAAACCCAACTAACAGTAACCCCCCCAAACAGGCAGTGCAACCTGGTGGTTAGGTCCACGGGATTCAAATCCTGGCCCAGCCATGTACCGCCTGTGTGGCTTCAGCAGTTGTAAGGCTTAAGCTACGATTCCTTATTTATGAAAAGAGCCGGAGCCTGCCTACTGGATGTGCGCTCTGGTAAAAGAGCCACATTTGAGTCTGGCTTGTGGACACACTGACATGCGTGCTGGGAAACCTGGCACTTATGGAAAAAGTCTAACAACTCACACTGACCCCACCTTCTCTCATCTTGTCTCTGGAGAAAACAAAATGGCGCACCCAAGTTAGAACTTGAGCTTAAGAGAGCCGCACAAACTGAACTGTAGGAGGTGGGTGGGCACAGATGGACTTCAATGTGAGGGCACTGAGATGATGGGCAGAGCAGGAGCGTGCGGCCCCGAGCAGGCCCGGCCCCCTACACGTGTGAGACACCACACTGACGGCTCTCTGAGGGCCGACTCCTGCTCTGCCCCTACTAGCAAATCCCAGAAGCAAACAGAAACTCAGTATTTCCAGATCAGTTTTGCCTTACACCAGCTATTTTCTGAGTGTAAGATGAAGAGGCTGGAAATGCCCCAGTTTGACAAGGATGGATGGGGCGTGCTAAGGGAGGCTTTTTAGAAAAATCCCCTAAATGCATTCCCATGGAGAACGTGTAAAACTTTTCCTATAAGAACGTTTCAGGTCCACGTTGAAGCATCTTACACACGAACATGTGCTTGACAGAAATGCTGATTTTGGAGGAAGGAAAAGAATTTGGGAGAAAGTTTGGAAAATTAACACTTACATGACAATCCTGTTAGAAAACACCCACATTCACCAAACAGAACGCACCTTCTCTTCCCAGTCGCGCTGTGAGGAGCCAACCTCTTCTCCTGGCCTGGGGACAGCTTTGCCCACCACACGTGAGGAATTCTGGGAATGAGCCGACTGTCCACACACCCCGGGATCTGATAATCGGCGTCTTTTTGCCGGGGACTCATGGTCCCTCCTGGCAGCAAACACAAAGTATGTCGATGGATGAAACTCAACTGCAGTTGAGCCCAGTGGACTTCTGATGCTCCGCTGGGGTGATAATGACAACTTTTGGGGACCCTGGAAACCAAAGTCTGGTTTTAATTTTCCTAAGTCTTCTTTTTGATACTGGACTTCCACACCTGCTTTATCTGGAGACGCTCCAATACATAAAGGCGTCTTTGTCCACTGCGGTGACTTCTGGCAATACTTTTGGTGAAGCCTGTCAAATTTTTCTTTAATTTCATCATAATGATCCCTTCCATAGCTTAGAGGTTGTATCTTTGGTACTGAAATAGCTTTGCTGGGTGATTCTGACTTTCTAAACATTCCCAGATTGTTTCCTTGAAAAAGAAGGCCGGATATCTGCTCTGAGCGGCCTGGGCTCTGTGTGGGCTCAGTCTGAAGACAAGAATTGCTTGATGACAGGCATCTACCTGCTTCGATGGATCTTCTGCCCAGGTTTTCAAAAGCCTCATTTAATCTCTTAGCTTTTGCTCTGATGAAAGGCCTACTCAGCCTGTGGGTTTCTTGGCCCAGGGGACCCCCAGGGCTTGCTGGACCACCTCTGTACACATCCAAAGCCGAGGAGCCAGGGAGGTAGGTCAGGCAGGACCGCTTCCTGGGATTCGGGCAATATTCCTGATGTAGCTTATCAAATTTGATTTCGATCTCCCTACAATGATTCCCTCCCTCGCCTGGCAGTATTCTTGGTCTGGAAACTATTTTTACAGGAGAAATTAACCATTTTAATGTCATAAATCTATTTTCCTGATCAAGATGATACATTGCACGAGAGTCTAAATAAGTCAGTGAAGAGGCCTTCTGGAATGTTCCTTTAAGCTCTTTCCAACTTGGATCTAATTTATGGACTTGGCGCTTGTTTACTTCAAGAATAGCTTTTTGCGATTTTAAACCTATCTTATGGCCAGAAGCATCTAGTAAGTTCTCGCAATCTCTTAATGCCCCCACCTCTTTCGCTGGCTTGGAACAGGGCGAAGGTCTCTCCCGGGAGCCCCTGCGAGCGTGCCCGCCTGCTCGGCAGTACGTCCTGTTCATCCTGCTCTTGCACCTGTGCCTCCTCCTGGAGTTCCAGTTTTGAAGGATGAACGTCTTGGTGGAGATGATGCATGATGGCTTTGCACTCAGCAGCCGGCTCATTGAGTGCAGCATGCCCGCATACATGTCGCTGATGGTCATGTCGCAAATGTCGTCGGCCTCGAAGGACTGGCTGCTCGAGAGGCTGGTACCACTGGTCCCTTGTACTGAGACACCGGCATTTCTAGGCACTATGGCCAGGTCTGTCGAGCAAGCACGTGAAGGACTGCACTCTCTGGGAGGGGAAGTTGGCTTCATCGGGCTGCCAGGACTCTTTTCAGAGATAATATCACAGCATCCTGGAGAAATACACACACACAAGGTCAAGGTGGGTTACCGTTCAGAACAGCCCACATGCAGAGACCATGGAACGGAAGACTGGATCATGACCATAATGAGTTTTTGATGCAAGCAAAAAAACAAGAACAAGAGAAAAACTCCACAAATACTTGGGAATGGACTCTTCTCAGATTCTTTCTAGCTATCAAACTTAAATTTCTACTCTCCACCCAAACTTCCCGAAAGGAGTCTTCATTCCCCATGGGATAGTTTAGAAGTTGGTCGCCTTTTCAAAGACTAATTAGACATCAGAAAATAATGACACTGTTTACCTACAGGGCTGGGTGGGGAAGGGATAAGTCTCCTAAATACATCTCTTTATACGGCTTTGACTTGTGCATGACATTAAATGTTTTCTATATTAAAAAAAAAAAAAAAATTAAACCAGCAAGGATGGGGATAACTCTAAAAGTGAATACAGACCAAAAACACGAATCTCACTGTGTATCAAACTGATAACAAATGAAAGAGAAAAAAGAATCCAAATAATTTTGAACACAATGCTATGAATGAGCTCCCTCAGTGGGATATTGTCTAAGGGTAAAAGAGCAGCTTAGAGATCTTGAACCTTCTTCAGCAGGTTGTTGAGCAAGTGGTCACAGCTGCTGTGATTCTGAAATTACTTTGTGCTTCACGACTGACCAAATGAGCACACGTTATTGGTGCTGGTGACAACGGGGAGGGGGACGACTATAGAATCAGAGTGGGGGGTCAAAGTGCTCAAAAACAGATGGGGACACCTCAGAGGACACAGAAGCCAGCATGAAAGGGGCTCCTCCAGGCTAAATCTGGGACGACTTGGGCATCAGACTGAATACTGGCAATGGATTCTAACGTGAATTAAAAAAAAAGTCCACGAGTTCTTATTGATTCTAGAAAAGTAAAAAAAAATAAAAAAGCAAGTGAGGGAGATAAGGGAAGGAAAAAAAAAGAAATGGAGGGGAGAGAGCTCATCTTTATAGAAAAATGCCAACGGATGCACGTAGAAGGAATGGCGGAGCCAGGAAAGGACTGGTTTGCAGGCACCAACTCAGGCAATAGTCACAACTGGACCTAAAATCCCGGTGTGAGAGGTTTCTGGGGAAAAGGCCTCCAGGTAATTGCAAGGGATTGCCCGCAGATGACTCCGAGGAAAGTGAGAAATGTGGTGGGTTCCTCCCTGGGTAACTGACCAGTCTCAGGAGTCACCAACAACGGGACAGACTGATGGGACGTCCCGAGAGGACACGACATCACCTGTGTAGCACCTTTCCCAAAAATGTTTAACATGAACGTAACCTCAAGGAAACAACCAGACAAGTCCCAGTGGAGGGACATTCTGCAAAACTATTGGCCAGGACTTTTAAAGAGAGTCAATGATGGGAAAGACGATGGTGACACGAGCAAGGCCAAGGAGACTGTCTGGACTGAAGGAGAAACTAATGCCACGGGCGATCCCGAGTGGATCCAAACCAGTTAAACAAACAAGAAAGGCTCGGAAGAACACCACTGGCATAACTGGGTACCTTGTATTGTGTCGATGTTAAATTTCCGGCATGTGCCAAGTTTACCGTAGTTGTGTAGGAGAATTACCTGTCCTTGGGAGATACTTGTGAAGCATTTAGGGATAATATATGTATGAATGTGAATAAATATATACGTGTGCATGTGAGGTGGGTGATAAAGCAAATGTGACAAAATGTTAAGTGTCAACGTGGGTGAAGGATGTTTATTGTATGAGCCCACGTTTCCAGAGATTCAAAAATTCTCAAAATGGTAGTTGGGATAAAGAGCTAAGTAGCAATTAGCATGCCAGAGTCCCAGAAGAAAAAAGCATTTCATTTTTTAACTCGTAGTAGTTTCCCTATGAAGTGCAGGTGTCTCTGTTTATGTTGATGAGACATGCACAGCACACAGGGGGCGCCCAGGGTAAGGGGTGCTGCACTGAAGGGCAGTGTGGCTCTACCGAAAGTGAAGAGGGTGCAGTTTATGCAAAGTCTTGGTCACACTCACCACGGGCAGGCCTGGCAGGCAAGGCCAATGAAGGGACGAGGGTCCCACGTGTGTCTTTTCCATCGCTGTAACCAGCACGCTGAAATCAAAGCAAATGACTTTTTTAACAAGACTGTCAGGGGTCGACTGGGCGCACTAAGATGCTTGCCCTCAGGCCACGCCCGCCGGATGGAGTGAGGAGCTGCTCCCCCTCCACCAGACTGTGCGTCCCAGAGTGGCAGCAGCGGTGACAAGTGTGTGACCACAGTGACAGTGGCTGGTTGGGCTTCCAGCAGTGGTGGGAAGAGCTGTCTTAGTAACATCCAGAAACGTTGTCCATGTGGCTTCCAGGGTACCCCCCAGAGGGCCACCACTGCCACTGTCGCCAGGAACCCCTCAGGAGTTCTCCTCCACCGTGATGCTCCCACAGCAGAAACACCTGGGGCCAGCTGGATGGTGGGCAAAGGAAACCCGCCCTGAGACGGCAGAGCCATTCCTGACCCGGTCTCCTCCCTGAGGGACAGAGCAGCCGAGGGCCACCGCCTGCTGCTTCAGGATAAAGGGAAAGGGCATGTCCAGTCCCTCACTAATTCCATGGTCCCCAGAGACAGGCTTTCCACTGGTCACAGCACAGTAAGAAAATATATCCTTCCCTGTGAGTTTGCTGCCTTCGAGACATATTATTTATTCCAGAACATGTACTTCCCAGTTATTTGGTATTAAAATCTCCTTTATTTTATGATATTGACAGAACTTGGAAAACTAGGAGTCGGCATCCTCACAAGAACCTCCATCTTTAGTTTTTAGGCTCTTCTTCAAGTAAAGCTCTGGGAAACTGGCTGCAGTGGAACGTGGAGGGCAACAACCCTGGGAGGGGGCCAGCGAGGCTCCCACCTCTCACAGGGCTTCACCGCGGCCCCCAATCACATTTCACCCCAACACCATGGCCGTGGAGCCGGCGGAACAGGCACCTTGCAGCCGATGCCAGGCCCTGGTCACACCAGGGAAGGACGGAGCTGGGAGCCATCACTTCCTTAATCACGCAGCTTAAACCCCCTCCACCCAAGGGTTGGGGCCCAATTTGATTCCTGTGAGCTGCCCCAGAACACAGCAGGCAATGGCGGGTGTGCCCCGCCAGTTTCCCCGATCTGACTGCCTTAGTGGACCCAGGTGTTTACTTAAGAGCAGACGTCTGCGAGCCTGTGAATGAAATGGTTTGGAGACAGTTGCTCAGAATGCTTTTACAGGCTCTGCAGAGAGTGAATAAGAACATGACTACACCGCACTCAATGCGTCTCCAGTTTATGACATAATTATGTGGATATATGTGCTGGGAAGCTGGTTACCTTGAAATACCCTTCATCCTGCAGCAGGATATCCACTTGGGTCAAGTACTTCCTCCTCAGCTCATTTTTCAAAGGGCTCCGGGGCACTGCAGGCTGATAAAAGAAAGAAGTCAGTGTTCCTAAGAGCTTCTGGGTGTGGTTGAACTCTTGAATTCTGGAACAAACTGGCAAGCTTGTTAATGTGCAAATCTTTATATGAAGTTACCATTCACTTTTCACCTCCTGCTGTTAATGGCAGAGTGGTCCAGGCCCTCTGTAAATCCACCTGACCCAGAAATCTGACTTTAGAGAATTTACCCCATGCTAACAATCCAAAAGAAAGTAAAAAGACAAAAAAATACAAGTCTGGAGAGGTTTATGACAGCATTACTAGAACAGAAAAAAATTTCAAACAACCTGAATACTCTTAGGTGAGCTCAGGACTCAACTACTAGAATTGACCCCACCCGGTATGTTTTTGAGAAAAGAAGTCCAGTGTCCCAACTCAGGGGGCAGGGATGGTTGCCTCTCTGTCCCTCACCTGCCACCCACTGGAGACAGGGGGTCTCAGCCTCACTCTATCCCTGAGTAGGGCTGAGTCAGCGATGGGATGTAGATGGGGGTAACACACACACCCAGTGTTCCGTGTGTTCTTTACTGTTGGGGTCCCTACTTCCCTTTACCGTCACCCCCGCCTAATACTTTACCACGTACCCCTCTCCTCCCCAGGGTCACCTCATTCTAGTTAGACACAAAAAGTCGCACACGGGTGTCTGGGCAGACCTCTGCACAAAAAGAGCAATTTCAGAGGAAAAACCACACGCTACCCTAGCATCTGCCATGGGGCCAGGTAAGTCACTCTGGTGGATTACGTTCTGTGTGTATTGTTTATCTCAGCGGAAAGCGAAGGTGAGAATCAGATCCTACAAGGAGACGGGTGGTTTCTGGGACACTTTGGGAAACTGACACAGAACGGCCTACCCAATTACATGAACTTGCAACACAATGGGCTTTCAAGGGCTGACCTAGAAATCCTTCCTAGAACACCTTCCTTATGACGTTGCCTCTATGGGATAAGAGCAACTCAGAACCCAACTTTCAACATGGCGTGCTGGATCGTGGTGCATGCCACACCGTGGACCACAGCTTGGACTGTTCCATGTGCAGAGGGAACAGCATCCAACAGCTACGTAAATTCAGAAAATCAGCTTTGAACTGGGGGTAGTAATGGCTGCCAAGTGCTGGACTGGGAAGGAGCGACTTGCTGCCTTAGGGGGCCTGAAGCGGGGGCCAAAGACTCGAGGGGCAGTATGAGCAGAGCGAGCCTGAGAAGAGGACTTCAAGAAAGGTGCAGGTCACGAGGACAGGCACCTGCCCCCCCCCCGGCACTGTCCCTTCATCACAAAAGGCAGGTCTCACCATTAGGGCCCCAGCAGCCAGATCTCCCGGGTAGAAAGTTGCGTCAGCATCTCTGCTTTTGGAATCTGAGAATAAATAAGGAAATCTCACTCAGAATTGTAAAGAAAGCATTTTTCTTTCAGGAATAGTTTTTGCATCACTTGAGCTTGTTCTACAGTCAGCAGTGAGGACACAGCCTCCCTTCAGTGAGGACACAGCCGTCCGTCGCCGTCCTGATTATCAGTAATGCAGAGAACCTTCCAGAACAGGAAGACCCCTCAAGTAGGGGAGGGAGGGAAAAGCAGCTTTATGTCACCTCTAGCTCTTTCAATGGCCTCCGATCCTAGAAGGGCACTTTAAGATGTTCTAGTGTTTAAAATGCACCTTAGAAAAAGTCATACAGAGGACTCTAGACTTGAAACATTGTAACAGAGATGCCAGGCCCAGTCCCTCCTGACCTTGCTAGAATCCCTAGCACAGGGACACTCACCCACTCCCAGGACTGGTGTGCAGGACACAGGAAGCTCGTGACCTGTGGCGGCGGCTTGCTCGGGGCCATCTTTCCTGCTGACTGTCTTCACGGGCGAGTCCTCAAAGTGCAGAAGGGGACAAACATGCTCATTTCAGTAACGACACATTTCAAAGCCACTGTGAAGTAACAAACCTACAATCTTTCCTCTACACATGAGAAAAGGAAGTTCACAAGGCTTCTCTTCCAGTACATTCTGGGATAAAAGGCCTCAGGACTCCTAGGAGGTGGATAGTAGAGGTTCCCTTTGGAAAAGGAGCAGAGCTTTCTTCCTCTGGTCGTGCCCAGGGCTGTGACTCCAAAGACCACTTGGATGCTGCGTGGGGGGAGCAGGAAAGCGAGAAGCCAGGGTAATAGTGAACGGGCCTGCTCCGCCCACGCGTGGTGGCAAACGAAAGTCAAAATGCAACAAGAGAGAACTGACTAGATCAGCAGGCGGAATCCAGAAATTCAAGGGGCCCCTGGGGGCCTTTCTCTGGTGTTGCGCGTGACGAGCCAGTTTCAGCCTAGGCTCCACTCCCAGGGGCGGCCAGGCGTCCGAGCAGGACTCACGCCGCAGGGGCGGCCAACGGGCCACTCCTGAAGGGCTGTGCTCCCACTAGCGGAATTCGAGAATTCAAGATAACAGATTGGCCAAAACATTTTAGGAACCCCCAGCCTTGCAAGAACAGGAGTGAGGGGCGGTGAGGCCTGTCCCTTTAGGGATGGCCCTGAGGCGTCATCTCTAAGGGTCTGGGGCTGCCCATGAACACAGTGTAACTGAATCCTGCCTTGGCAATGTCGCCGCCTGACTCCTGTAAGGCGGGACTGGATCACCGACAGACAGGTGGGAGCTGGTGGAGTTTAGAGCTGTTTTGCGGCTGCTGTCTGGAGGTGTGTGGCAGAGCTTGGTTTGAGGAGGGGGAGGTAGTCCGTCGGCACGGACCTCTAACTACCAACAGCTCTGGGGTCTACAAAGAGAACCGGGCCTTGTGTCAGGACCAAAGTGACTTAGGTCAACATCGAGCCCACCACGGCCTACCGCCTCTCACAGTCTCCAGGCAGCAATCTCGGGGGGCAGCAGGGAGGGGAGAGGTACATCATGAGTAGTTGGTTGTCTGGGGAAAGGAGAAGGTGGATTTGGGCAGTCACTCATGGTAACTTCAGCGAGATTGTAGACATCCGAGCTGACATCCCAGACTACGCCCCGTTTCCTAATTTCAGGAAAGGGGCTTACAATTCTGTAGATCTCAGGTAGGGATCCTCCTACATTTTAAGCAAAAACCTTAAATAAATATCCAGATGACAACATTTGCCACCAGGACCATTCAAGCATTGGTCTTATTGGTGGGCATCACTACTATGTATAATTAAAAAGTGCAGGGGCCGGCCTGGTGGCACAAGTGGTTAAGTGCGCACGCTCTGCTGCGGCGGCCCAGGGTTCGCTGGTTCGGATCCCAGGTGCACACCGTCGCACTGCTTGTCAAGCCAGGCTGTGGCGGTGTCCCATATAAAGTGGAGGAAGATGGGCACGGATGTTAGCCCAAGGCCAGTCTTCCTCAGCAAAAAGAGGAGGATTGGCAGATGTTAGCTCAGGGCCGATCTTCCTCACCAAAAAAAAAAAAAGTGCATATTCTTTGACCTGATAATCCCACTTCCAGGCATTTACTGAACAGGAGTGATATCGGCACTGGGAAGAACAAAGACGATCCTCTGAGGACTATTTATAAATAACAGGGGTCTTATAAATACTTTTACTGGAACACAGCCATGCTTACCCGTTCACATCTTGTCTATGGCTGCTTCCCCCTTACAACACAGAGCTGAGCAGCTGCGACAGAGACCATATAACCAGGAAAGGCTAAAATACTTATCATCTGGCCATTTACAGGAAAAGTGTGTGCCGATCCTGATTTATAAAAAAGGAAGTTGCAAAAGGCTAAATGTCTATTGACAAGAGAGCAGTTAAAACAAAAAGGTAATTGAATTATATGATGAAGGAGTGTTCACAATATATATTAAGTAGAAAAAAAAGAGGGTAAAAACTATGTGTATTTATAAATATGTGTATTATAAACAGGAATTCCATTATACTAAAATATCATTTTAGTATAGTGACCATCTGTAGAAGTCAGGTTAATTTTAAGTAGTTATATGTATTTCTAATATTTCTATGACTAATGATATTATATGTTATTAAAACAATTAATCAGGAAGAAAATTTGATTTCCAATTTGCTGTGAATTGCTATGGAACCCTAATGCTGTTTTCATTCCTGGGTGCAGGTTCCGTGACCAGTGGACCACAAGGAAGAACCATGTGGTGTCTGAGAAGCAGTGATGAAGAGAAACCAGACATCCTTGCAAAAGTTACTCTTGCAAAAGACTCCCCGGGGCTCGCAGAAGGAAGGCCAACTGTATCAGCACCTTCCATAAACATAATAGATCGCAGAGCTGCAGTGTCTGTGGATAAATTAGGGGAAAACCCCAAAACGCTGGGTCTTTTGAAAGGTAGAGCAACGCGGAAGGAAAGAAGCATGATCCTGCACACGGCACCCTGTCCCTAATCTCTCCTCCTCCAAGCCCTTTCAGGAGAGGAAAAGAGGCAATTTTCTTCCCTAAAAGGACCTGGATTTGGTCTTTGCTAGAAGGACCCAACAAAGTAAGCTCGTAGTGGTGGCTGTAGCTCGGGGCTGGGAGAGGTCTATCCAGCTGGCCCAGGCTTGCCCTCGGAGTCCAGCTGTCAGAGCCCGTGGCCGAAGGCAGAGGAAACAGGGGCACAGAAGGGCTTGATCACATAGCTGCTCCCTGCACTTGACAAGCAACAGAAGAAATGCTTCTCAGTAAATCCTTACAAACAGGAAAGGCGGGTAATTAGGTGAGAAAGCCGTGGAACAAGAGCCCCGTGGCGGCCTCCAGAAGCTCACCCACACCTTTATTAACATCAGTATTCCCCCTCGGCAAGGAATGCTGGCAATAAAATTTGATAGTTAGTACCTGGATTTGTTCCTTGTTTCTTTCCTTTACAAGTCTTCCACCCCAAATTCTCAATCCTTAAGAAAAGAAACGAAATAAACATTACCACTTAAGTAATCCCAAACGCTGAATTTCTGTTCAATCTGCATTCAAGGAAAACCAAGTGACAGGCAAAAAAGAGATATACTACTAAAACCAGGCCATATTTCTGATAGTCTGTTGTTTTTCGTCTTTGTGAGGTTGACGGTTTTTTTAAAAATCAAGATTAAACAATAATCTGTCACTAATAAAAATCTCTCCTATCTAGTGGGCAGCAGCTTGTCAAATTCCATCATTAAGCTGCAGAGTTAAATGGAAACAAGGAGCACAGGTATGCCAAGTACTGTCCCCAAAATATATACATTGAGGGTCATCTATACACTACGTGGGGAGAGAAAGCACTTTTCGAGGGCCATCTCTACATCCCCTACACAGAGTAAGTGCTTTCTGAGGGCAATCTACACATTATACGGATCGAGTAAGCCCCAAGCACAGGGGTAAACCTTAAGCACAGGCGTAAACCTTGAGTTTTGGAGTCCTGCCACTTACCAGCTAGCAGAACCTGGGCAAGACAATTAATCTCTCCTTAAATCTCCATTTGTTCCCAGGTAAACTCACGTTACTAAGAAGGGATCGTTGGGTTGCCAGGCTTGAGATGGTTGTTACTCTTGATAATGACAGCAAAAATACACACAGTGCTTAGTGTTCCAGGCTCAATTCTAAACCCCTGCCAAGCACAGCTCGACAACTCACTTGTGTCTAACTCCCAGAGTACTCTGACCTCCCTGTGGGAGAGGCACTCACCAAGTTCACTGTACAGACGGAGACAGGGAGGCAAGAAGTTCAAAGAACCAGCCCAGGCCACCGGCCCACGTGGGGAGCCAGGCTGTGAACCGGGGGATTGACTCTGAGCTCCTGACCACTGTACCATGCAGCCTTTCCAGAACAGTGGTGCTTGAGCAAATGAGCTCGGAATGAAATCAGGGCTTGGCTGTGTAGGTTGAGTGACACGGGGCAAGCTCCTTAACCTCTCTGCTGTATCCTCTGCTATAAAACAAGGATCATTCTAAGAACAGTGCCTACCTCACCCAGCTGTTGAGAATCAAAAACATGAGATTCTCAGCAGTGTAGGGCACATGATGAGCTGTCAACACACGTGAACGCCTATTACTTTCCTGCTGTCTTCATTCTAATCAGTGTGGGAGTGTTAGTTTCAATCTACCCCCATGGTGTGCCTTAAATTGGGAATTCATGCTACAAGGGTGGTCAGCTAGCGTTTAATCAGAAAGGCCACCCCCTAAGTGAGTGCCTTTCCAGGCTAAGTAACAGGTTGGGGGACCTGTATTACAAGGTCAGCAAGGAGCTTGTCAGAATGCAGACCTCCTGAGCCCACCTGCAGCATTGCTGTCAGGGGCCCCAGGAATCTGTTTCAATAAGCTCTCCAGGTGGTCTGCTACAAGCTCAAGTGTGACTGCTCTCAAGGTGTTTAGATGCTTCAACTGCTGTTCTCATCACACGGGAGTCAGAAATGAGTTTCACTGATGAAATTAGTGGTATTCAAGATTGGCCAAAATATTCCAGACACTGCCCATCCTTGCAAGAACGGGCCATAAGAATATAGAGAAGCCCGTTGATGGCACCCTTAGGAATGATTCCTACACAGACCTGTGTCCTGCCCTCAGGTAAGATTTGTCCCCATCCGACACAGACAAAAGTGTAACAGAAACCTGCAGCTGAAATACCTCAGCTTCTGTGTAAACTCTTCACCCAAGGCGTGGCTGGGTCAGCTGAAAACAGAGAGCTAAGACTTGTTTTAATTTAAGGAGCAGATCTGATAAACCTTTTTGTCCCTTCTAATGCACAGCAGAACTGGATCTGGGATTTGCTTTCATTAGTAAGTAACAGTGAGTTGATAATAAGGCTGAATGGGAGGAATGGACCTCACCCAGCAAAACTTTCTCTACCTGTTTACCAAAGAGAATACGTGAGATTTAAGTCAGTTTGCAACATCAACCATTAAACAGAATTGGCTCCTTCTCCCTATACTCAGGGCAAGTTCCGAGTACTCAGAACCTCAAGGAAGACAGTTACTACTCCAAGTCACACAGGACAACTAACAGTCAACAGGAGTGTTTCCCAGTGTTCTAAGAACTTCACAGGCACTCTCATGGAACTGTTACAACATCCAGACCAAGTCCATATTATTGTCGCCATCTTCCCATTTTACAGATTGAGAAACAGACACAGCTTGGCCCAAGCTGACAGGACAAGCGGCCAGCTGGGATGCAACCCAGGCAGGGGCATTTTTAACCAGCATACATCTTTGAGTCTTCAGAATTCTGTTGGAAATAAGTAATTTACAGGTTCAAAGGAACTAGTAATGTTTTAGTTCCTATTAGGTGAGCAGGGTTTATTTTCATAAGAGAGCCGGGACAGCGTTTTAAACTCTGGGAAGACATTATTCTGTTTACTCTTCACCATAAATATTCAGAAGGGGAGGATGACTGCGTACCCTCGGGCGTGTCGTAGGTCAGCGTGGACATCTGCACCAGCGGGGCATCCTCGAAGGGCTGGTTGTACTGCGGGAGAGGAAGGGGCGGCTTATCAGGTCCGAGGGCCGAGAGGAGCCCCTGACCCGGGCCGAGGAGGCGCCAGCGCGACGCTGGAAGTCTGGAGGCCCCCCAACACCTCGCCTCTGCCCCCGGACTCCCAAGTCTGCCTCCCCCTCCTCACCCCAGACTCCAACCCCCCTCCCCGCTCCTAACCCCAGCTCCCAACTCCACCTCCCACCTCCTTACCCCAGCCCCTAACCTCGCCTCCCCCCCCCCC